TGAAAACAGTCTAACATGTTTGGAACCAACTGGAGAGGAAATATGGCTGGAAGGGTTGGCTTGGGCCAGAGCTTGGAGTACTTGAAACATATTTAAAAGTTTGGATTTTCTGCTGGGAGTGGTGGGAGCCATTACAGCATTTTCATCAGACTTGCATTTTAGTGAAAGTACTTTAGCTAGAGTATAAAGGATGTTGTAACAGAATGCCCCAGCTTGCCTTAGGATTTCTGAAAAGACAGATTAGGAGGAAGACAGAAAGACCAACAAATTGATAGATGGACAGTTAGATACTGAGAATGAGGATTCAATGAAATTTTACACACTATATGATGCAAGTTCCTCCAGATTTCTTCCTTGCCCAGCTCTGAGAATACCTACAGGTGGACCTATACCCTCCAAGCAGGAGTTTGGAAGAGTCTTCTCTGAGAAATCTGATCAGACAAGAAAAAAGATCTAATGATAGTGAAATCAGGATTTCCTCAGAGAAATGGCCTAGTGGGTCACCCTGTAGTAAAGCCCACAATCAACAAGCCTCGGCATACCCCACGTATACACACACACAGTTTCCAATCAATACTTTGGTGCCCTTGCTCTTAAATATGAGTGGACAACTGAGGATCACAAGACATTTGAGGAAAGTCTCTAAAATGAAAGACAGAGGCCAAAACAAATAGAGAAAGAAAAAGAACAGCTTAGAAGAAATGAAGACCATATAAAGAGAAAAACATTTTTAAAAAGCTATCATAATTGGATATCTTTACTGGCCAACTGCCAAAACAAACAAACAAAACTATCATAAATATCCTCAAAGAAATAAGAAAAGAATGTTTATCCACGAAACAAGAACATAATGTTTTAAAAATTCAGAGAGCAAAAGATAGCTCTTAGAAATCAAAAATATTAAAACCAAAATGAAAAATTCAATAGAAAGCTTGGGAAATAAAGTTAAAGAAATTGGGCTGGATGGTTAACTTGGTTAGAGCACAGTGTTACAAGACTGAGGTCAAGGGTTTGTATCCCCATATAGGCCAGCCCTCCCCCACCAAAAAAAAAAAAAAAAAAAGATTAAATAAATCTCTCAGAAAGTAGAGCAAAAAATAAAGAAGACAGGAAAGAAAATATAAGAAATTTAAGGGCCGGCCTGTGGCTCACTCGGTAGAGTGTGGTGCTGATAACACCAAGGCCACGGGTTCGGATCCTATATAGGGATGGCTGGTTTGCTCACTAGCTGAGCGTGGTGTTGACAACACCAAGCCAAGGGTTGAGATCCCCTTACCGGTCATCTTTAAAAAAAAAAAAAAGAAAAAGAAAATATAAGAAATTTAAAAGATTAGTTCCTGGGATTCATCATCTGAATAACAAGAATTCTAGAAAGAAATAATAGAAATAATTACCGGGAGGGGAGAAAATCATCAATAATTCAAGAAAATTTTCCATAACTGAAGAACTTGAATTTCCAGACTGAAAAGACCGACTGAGATCATACTAAGACATTTCGATGTAAAATTTCAAAGTGCTAGGATGAAGAGAAAATCCTGAAGTCTGTGGTTAGGGGAAGAGGGAAGGAAAATAAAAACGTACTTCACACAAAGGATCTAGAATAAGAATGGTTTCAGGCTGCTTAACAGCAATACCAGAAACTTGAAGACAATGGAGAAATGCCTTAAAAATTCTGAGGGTAAATTATTTCCAATCCAGTGTGCTATACCCAGCCACATTGTCATTTAAATGCAAGAACAGAACAAAGACATTTTCAGGGCCGGCCTGTGGCTCACTTGGGAGAGTATGGTGCTGATAACACCAAGGCCACAGGTCCAGATCCTGTATAGGGATGGCCGGTTTGCTCACTGGGTGAGCATGGTGCTGACAACACCAGTCAAGGCTTAAGATCCCCTTACCAGTCATCTTTAAAAAAAAAAAAGTTGCAATATTTGCATGCTACATTGTCTCAGGTATTGATATTCAACTCTACCCACAAGTATGTATAAGGAATTATTTTTGAATAAAGTTTATTGAAAAAAAACTTACATGCTATTTTGAGTTTGAGATACGAAGGTGAATATAAAACAAAACATAACACTGTTTAATTTTTTCTTTTTTTGGTGGCTGGCTGGTGCGGGGATCTGAACCCATGACCTTGGTATTATATGGCTGAGCTCTAACTGACTGAACTAACCAGCCCGCCAAAACATAGCACTCTTTAGAAACTCAATTGAAAGTGATTGCCTTTGAAGAGTGGGAGGAGTTGGGCGACTTTTTTTATTGAAGCTTATATTTGACTCTTTAAATAATATACTGTATATTTATTTATTTATTTTTTCCTTTTTGTCTTTTTTCGTGACCGGCAACGGATCGCCACCCTCAGTGTCGCGCCCGTACCAGACCGGGATCGCAACCCTCGGTGTTGCTCCCGCACCTTGCTCAGCCAGTGAGCGGCTGGTCTGTATGTGGGATCCGAACCCTCGGCGGGAGCGCCACCGCACTTCCCAAGCGGCGCAGTGTAGCAGTGCACCACCGGGCCAGCCTATACTGTATATTTATGATTAAAAAAAAATTACCCCATAGAAGTTAGAGGAAGGGTTACAGAAGGAGGCTGGAAGACTGGTTAGGAGCCTGTGGCAATTTTTAAAGAGAGGTGACAAGGGAAGTGGGGATAGAGACATGACATGAACAGATTCAAGAGATACTGTAATTAAGTCTTCTCTATTCTCCCCTTAAAAAGCTCACACCTTAAATGCCCTCCCCTCTGTTCTCCCTGCAATGGCCATACCCCAGGCTCTAGCCACCCCACTGCAATCAGCCCCAACACCTAATAAGATCACCTTATAAAAGGTTAATGAAGTGATGAGTAGGCCAGAGCCCAAAGATGTGGATTCCGGGATGGCCATTAAAATGCAGTGATTCTAGAGTACAAAGACATTCTGTGAAAATTAGTAAGATCTGGGGCCAAGGTGAGAGTAATAACTTAAAAAACATAAACTCTGAAACCAAACAAAAAGATTAGGGCAAGATAAATTTTGGAAATATTAAATTTCCTAGTTTATACCCTTTTCTGCATTAGTGTTTAAAGCTTTATTCATTTTTTTAAGAAGTGATACACGGGCAAGGCACAAAATTCAGAAGGTCGACAGTGGTACATGGGAAAAGTAGTCGCCTTCCTTCTGTCCCCTGGACAGCCAGTTCCTCTCCCCAGAGGCAGTTACTCTGTTTGTTTGTGCATCCTTCCAGAAATAATCTATTCTGCATTAAACTGTTTAAAAAGCCCATCACTAGATAGATTGTTCATGTTTAAAAGGCAGTAATCCTATACTAATTATCCCGATTTGAGCATCACATATTGCACACAGGTACTGATATTCACCACTGTTCTCCAGATATGTACGATCAATTATGTTTCAATTTTTTTTAAGTTAAATAAATAAATAAAAGACAGTAATCCCTGCCAGACTGACATGAGCCAAGGTCATGAGACTAGATTCTTCTGGCTCCCATTTGGGAAAGGGGCTGACCAGCTTCATAATCTCTTAATCAAGATTGTCCTAAAGGCCCATTTGCAGGAAACTAGTTTCAAGGGCCAGAAATTGGGAGCCCACTGGAAGAATTTGGGCCTTTGACATGTTCTATCTGGCTAAATCATATATTTTTTTTTTAATTTGAATTTTAAGAAGGATCTTCAATCTTTTAAATTTCCATAGATCCTGTTTCCTACAACTTACACACTTACATTACCTTCCTGTCCCCTTTCAGTGTCTGAATTTTCTTCCTGCCGATATGACCATGTAACAAATGTTTCATACACAAAAGGAACAATATGCCACCATCAAAAGTGATGACACATGTACATTTAACAGCATGGGAAGATGTTTCTCCTATATGTTTAAATGAAAAAACAGGTTACAAAAGAGTATTATCCCATAAACCTCTATTCAACTAATTATAAACATACACACACATGTATACATATATATATTTTTAAAAATCCAGAGACTCAGGGCTGGTTGGTTAGGTCAGCTGGTTAGAGTGTGGCCTTGTAACATTAAAGTCAAGGGTTCAGATCCCCCTACTGGCCAGCTGCCAGAAAAAAAATCTGAAGGATCAACACCAAAGGGTTAGTAGTGCCCACGTAAGAAGGGCTATGGATTCTATTTCTTGTTTTGTTTTGTTTTGACTTTTCTGATGCTTTTATTCATTTTCATATTTTATTTTACAAAGAATGAGACTTTTTTCCAAATGACTATATCAACTCAGTGCATAGATTTTCTTCTAATTTCATCATTTTAAAATCTCAAGGATTTTATTTTATTTTTAAATTAAATTAAAAAAAAATTTTGGCTATAAAACAAGTCTTAATACATTTAAAAAGACTAAGATCATAGAAAATAATAGGAATTATGTCTATTTTATTTTATATGTACATGCTAATTTTTCTACAACAAACCTGCGATTACTTATATGATAAAATATTATGAAAGTGGGAAATGAGCCTGTTTCCCTCCTTGGCCCCATGGTCCTAAAGGTTTGTTTTATTTTTGCTGAAGTTTACTCTTTTGTAAGGCATACCAGACTGAAAATAAAGACTTCATGACTAAAAAAAAAAAAAAAAAAAAAAAAAGCACCAGCTGCCTAAGCTGATTTTTTGAAGTTGGGGCAATTGGTCCTTCGCATTGCACCTTGAAATGTCAATGCTAGGTGGCAGCCTGTTCTGTCCGGTAAGTTGTCGGCCTGCCTTAGTCTTGGATCTGGCACAGCCCACTCCAGACATTTGAGACCTTTGTCTGAGTCCTAAATGTGACTGACAAGCTTGATGTGTTAAGCTCACCCCTTGCTCTTTTTTCTCTATATTCCACAGGCCACAGCCAAGACTCTGGCCCACTGAGAGTGAAAGTAACCTTGGGCACACCCTTACCCCTGGGAACAACATCCACTGAACAGAACACTCAAGAAGGATCTCGAAGTGGCTAAGGCTTATCACCTCATCAACTCCTCTACTCAGCACCATATCAGGACATAATAGTTTTCATTTATTTTTCACCCACGACAAGGAGGAAAAGCCTTACCCTGGATTCTGCTCTTTCTGTACTTTGGGAATATGCACCCCCAACCCTCCTTCCTCGAGGGAGGCCTCTGTGTCAGTGTCTGTGGAGACAGTCTCTGAGGAGGGCTTGAGCTGGTGGGGAAGAAGCTCAAGTAGAGAGAGATCCCCAAGGGATGGCATCACCTTCCTGCCAACTCCCTCATTGCCTCTTCTTCAAAGCAGAAGGAGTGCCAGCCCTCTGCTTCCGTCAGATCTTGGGCTCCTAGGGCCTTGTACAAGTCCATGGCCCTCTTGTTCCAGTCCAGGACGGCCAGGCGGAACTGGGAGCAGCCCTTATCCAAGGCCACCTGTGGGAGAAGATATCACTCATTTTCACTCCCTCATTCAACCCGGGTGTCCCCCATATACTCGTGCTTCTTCAGGGCCTGGCTTGTAGCTCCCACCCCTCTCCTCACCTCAGCCACGTTTTTGATTATTTTGGAACCAATCCCCTGACCTGTGGCGGGGAGAAGAGGCAAAAAGAGCGATTGTTTAAGGTGAAGGGGATCAGAAAAGGCCACAGGCTGGGATTAGGGAGCACGGGATGGTGGTGGGGTCCGTGGGTTGCTTCGCCCCCACCTCAGCCTCAGCCCCTGCCCAGTACCGCGATATTCCGGCATCACATAGATGTCTTCCAGATAAATGGTGCGTCCCTTCCATGTGCTGTAGGAGAAGTAGTATAGCCCGTAGCCTACCACACAGGGCCCTGAGAAGAAGAGAGAGAAAAAGGGGTAAGGCCTCTGGGAGCATGGGGAGAGACCTCTGGGGCTGAAGCGAGAGACAGAACTCTGAGGGCCAGGTGCTCTTACCCTGTAGCTCCCCGCGGACTGGAAGAATCTCTGCTACCAAACACTGATAGAAAGGATTCTCTCCAAAGCCATCTGCTCTGAGGGCTGCAGAGATTGGAGTTGTGACAAAGAGAAGATAAAGAGGACCTGGGTGTATGCCTAGCCTGGAGCTGCTGCCTGGGGAACCCATCCCTCTCTTCCTCCCCCACCTCCATCAGGACCCAGGTGCCGAGCCCCCACCTTCTTCACTGATCTTCACCTGATCCGAGAGTTTCTCGTACTCAGCTAGTTCCTACGTCGTGGGGACAGAGGCTAGGCCAGGGCAGCGGGTCCTCGCTGCCCCTCCTCCGCCAGCAGGGGCCCGAGGCGCGCCCCTCCCCCCGCCCCCAGCTCCTACTCCCCCGCTCAGGACGCGCCGCTCTGACCCCCCGCTGGCACCCTGGCTTCCGGCCCGCAGCCTTCACCCGAATCAGCCTCAGGATGTCTCCACAGTCTCCCTCCTTGGCCTCCCGGATCCGCACGGAAGCCATTCAGATTCCCACCGTCTGCGCCCGGCAAAGGGCCCCTGGGATCCTTTAAAGGGCCTACAAGCTCGGATCCCGGAAAACCAGGGAGAGCGTGGCGGCGGGAACTCCGAGGGCTGGAGAGTGGAGCCCGGGTTCCGGAGCTGGCCCGGCGGAGAGACCAGTGCGGCTTGGAGTTCCTCACCCCCGGGGTAGCCCCTAAATGCTGCCCCTGCAGGCGCACACCCGCCAGCCAATCAGCTTGCAGAGCAGGCGTATCTCCGCCTCCCCCAAGCTCCGCCCCCGACGGCCCGGTCTTGTGACTGGGCCGCTGGGCAGGGGTCAAGGCTGGCGTGTGCAGGATTCCTGAGATCCAAATGCACAATCACTGGGCCCAGCTTACGTTGTTGTTACCTGGGTGTCCCAGCCTGTATCGGAGATCCCCACGACTCAGAAGTCACCGGTACTTCTTTAATTGAAGTCTGCAGTGATTATCTGCTTTAGACTTCATTCTAACCCACCCATTCAAGCCTATCCAGAACCTGGGTGAATCCCAAGACCCCCAGCTCTGAAAGCTGTTTCCTACAGTGCTTGAGTGGCTCAAAGTGTTACTTCTCTCAGCGGCATTTGCTTTTAAAATAGGTCAGGGAGAGGGTGATGAATTTCTACTGGTAGACTGTTAGGCCCTGTAATAAACGATGAGGGAAGATAATTGGGAGTAAGTGGCAGGTCCCTTCTTAGTATCCACTAAATCACACACAGAGACAATACCTTCTTGTGAGACTAGCCTCAGAGGCCTGGGTAAACATCGGGGGAGGAGTTCAGACCCGATACCAGACATTGTGCCTGCATTATCTCCATTAATCCTCATTCACAGCCACCCCATAAAGTAAGTATTATTTTCCTCCTTTTACCGACAAGGACACTGAATTACAAAGGTGGAGTGACTTGCACAAGGCAACCCAACTGGGTATTTGGGATTGTGTATCTCATCTCTAGCCTTGATAGAGGGTGCTACTTGGGGAGCAGGCTAGGACTATTTCTAGACCTCAGGCCTGTCGAGGAAGCCTCCCCAGGTGGGCAGAAGTCTCGGAAGACTCAGGTCAGGCTCTAGAGGAGGAGAGGGGAAGTGGGGTGTCCTCTGCTAGCTCATAAGCTTTCTTGGCAGTGGAGGATGGTAGTGGAGGGACTCTGTCCCTCACCCCATTTGTCCACAGAGGGGCCGCAGGGTCAGTGCCCTGTCTCCTGCCCCCCTTCTTCCCCCAGGGCAACCTTTAACCTTCCACCACCCATGCACAAGGCTGCCTGCCCCCAATCATTCCACCCGGGGTGGTCTGAGCCACGGTGTGGATGCAGCTGACTATGGAGAGCAGAGGGCCACTGCCCGCCTCGCGTTGGCTGGTGCCGCCGCGGCTGGTGCCGCCGCCTCCGCTGCCGCCGCTGCTGCTGCTGCTGCTGCTACCGCTACCACCTCATACCCGCAAGGGACTGGCCCTGAGACATATTCTCCTCACCCAGGTGCAGGGGCAGGACAGGGCTTTCAGCCTCTGTGTGTTCAAATGAGCTACACCTTAGCTCTGCCCTCTTCCCATCTCTCCTCTCTGCCCTGTAGCAGCGCCTCTTTCTCTGTCTCTGACATGTCCTTGTTACAGCTTTTTAAAATTTTCTCTTTCTGATACAGGGCCCAGGATCCTCCTGCTATGCATCTCAGCAATGGCCCAGGACAAGAGCCTGTCACTGTTTTGATCTTTAACCTCTCCAGGATCGCAAAGTATGGAGTTGACCTGGTCCCTGATCCTACCCTCTCTCCTTCCCGTTTCTCTGTCCTCCCTCCCTGAACTCCACCTCCCCCAACTCCACATTGACCCTCAAAGGGCACACCCCATGCACAATCTTTCCTCCTGTGTTCTTCCAGAACCTCCTCCTCCTTTGAGGTTCAAACGTGGGATCAAGAGGTAGTCATTTTTTATGGGGATACCAACCCTAAGGATGACTGGTTCATGCTGGGCCTTCGGGATGGCAGGCCTGAGATCCAAATGCACAATCACTGGGCCCAGCTTACAGTGGGTGCTGGACCTTGGCTGGATGATGGGAGATGGCACCAGGTAAGCTAGCTGTCGTCCCGAGGGGAGGGGTGTCTTGAGCTGGTCTGAGGAAGGAGAACTTTACCATTGTCATCTCATTTAATTGTCCCTGTTTTTTCTGATGGGAATTCTGAGTCTCAGTCAGTATATAAGTGACAGGGCCTGAGTGAGCCAGGAATGCTAGCTGAGTCTTCAAGTGCATGTTCTTTCCACCATGTTAGGCTGCCTCAAAGGAAAGTGGAGAAAGCAGGCCCCAGGGGCACATGATTCTGCTTCTTGCCTCCTTCCTGCAGGTGAAAATAAGGAACCATGGGGACTCAGTGCTCCTGGAGGTGGATGGGGAGGAGGTGCTGCACCTGAGACAGGTCTCTGGGTCCCTGAACATCAAACCCCAGACCATCATGAGGATTGCGGTGGGAGGATTGCTCTTCCCCCCCTCCAGCCTTCGGTTGCCAGTAAGCACATCACAGGGGCGGGAACCATGACCTGAGGCTTGGTAAAAGCATGGCAGGTGGGTGGCCATGGGAATCTAAGTGCAGGCTTTGTGTGTGTGTGTGTGTGGCTGGCCAGTGAAGGATTTTTTTTTTTTTTAAGGCCTTTTTCCAGCATGACTAAGTGCAGTCTTTTAAGGAGAGAGGGGGTGGGAGGAGAACTGCATGGGGGAGGCCAAATGCTTGTGTCTCAGAGGGGAAAAAACTGAGGGTGGAGCAGTTGGGACTGGGGCTCAGATGCCCTCATTTTGACACCCCCACATCCTCCCTTTTCCCCACCCCCTCTAGCTGGTCTCTGCCCTGGATGGCTGCCTGCGGTGGGGTAGCTGGTTGGACCCACAGGCCCAGATCTCAGCCTCTACCCTTACTAGCCTCAGAAGCTGTGATCTAGAGTTGCAACCTGGGTTATTCTTCCCTTCAGGGACTCACGCAGAATTCAGTCTCCAAGGTAGACTTCCTTGGAGTCTGTCTTTCCCTGCATGGCCAGCTCTGCCTTCTTCTGTCTTCCTCTACCACTAGCCCCTTCCCTCCATGAAGCTCTAGCCTTGAGGCCTCAAGAGATCCTCTCTCCCCCCCAGACATTCCCCAGCCTTATACAGAGCCCTGGGCCTTCTCTCTGGACCTGGGACTAAAGCTGGCAGCAGGCTCAGGCCACCTCTTTGCCCTGGGGACACCAGAGAACCCTTCTTGGCTCAGCCTCCACCTCCAAGATCAAGTAAAGGGGAGGGTGGGGCCCTGCCTGTGTTCAGTGAAGTTTGGGAGCAGTGGGGGAGAAAAGGTGCTCCAAAACATCAATACTAGTAAGGCTTGAGGGTGGCACTCAGGTGGGGGTAGGGGCCCAGGAACTTATCTTGAAGCTGCCCACAGCAAGCAAACGGCTTTTACTTAGATTGCATATTTTCTTGAGGTGGACATGGTTTCATAGAGCCATGAAAATTGGGACAGGATTTGAGTGGTGAGAACGGCCAGTAGGTGGAGGCATGACTGAGAGGCAGAATTCCGGCACCAAGGGCGGGGCCACAAGGAGTAGGTGCCACTCATTCTTTCCTCCCTTCCTCTTGTCCCTGTCCCATGCACTCTGCAGAAGGTGGTGCTGTCTGCTGGGTCAGGGCCAGGGCTAGATCTGCCCCTGGTCATGGGACTCCCTCTTCAGCTGAAGCTGGGTATGTCCAGGGTGGTCTTGAGCCAGGGGCCTAAGACAGAGGTCCTGGCTTTGCCTCCCTTGGGCCTTGGCCCCCTCATCAGCAGCCTTTGGGCCCAGTCTGAGGGGCATCTCTTCCTGGGGGCTTTACCAGGTAAGAGAGAACAACGTTCAAGTTCCTAAGCACACCACTGGAAACAGCTAAAGGGAGGGGCACATTTGGAGGGAAAGGAAACGTCTGAAAGGGAAGAAGAAAAAGCCACAAGAAGAGAGAGGAAAAGGGGGCAGTGGGAGGGGGTGCTTTTGAAAACTCAGGGGCTGTCAGTTAGCTCAGTTGGTTAGAGTGTGGTGCTATAACAAGTGGCAAAGCAGCAATTTAGCTTAACCACAGAACTCAGTTGCTGGTCCCCACAGGAAGTTCCCCCAATTTTAGAATTAACTAAAGGACAACAAATTAGTTCCAGTGAAGAGTTTAAGTGGTGGTGGTAGCTAACAATCCAACACAAAAAAAAAAAAAAAAAAAAAGAAAGAAAGAAAGAAAAAGAAAACTCAGGTTGGAGAACTAGAAGAATGAGGAGGAGCTCTGGATTCAAGCCCTCCTAATGCTCTAATGCCACCTCTATGTCACCTCCCTCTAGGAGAGGACCCTTCTGCTTCCTTTTGCTTGGATGGGCTTTGGGTGCAAGGCCAGAAGCTGGACATGGACCAGGCCCTGAGCAGGAGCCAGGACATATGGACTCACAGCTGTCCCCAGAGCCCAGGCAAAGGCTCTGATACCTCCCAATAAATCCCCACAGGAGAACCCCCGTTGGATGTCACTCATTCATTTATTCAGCAAATATTCACTATGTACGTGCAATGGACAGGCACTGTGCCAAGCATAGAGTTGTACTGATAAACAAAAAGAACTCCGGTTTGTATCCCATTGGTGCTCACAGTCCCGTGGGGGAAGAAGGCTTCCATCAAAGGCTAATAAATAGGTGGATAACTGGAAACTCTGACAAGTGCCATTAGAGCTGTCAGAATTGTGAAAGCCTGGAGACTAGAAAGCCTTAACCTAGTCCAGGTGTCAAGAAGGACTTCCCTGAGGAAGTGGTGACTTCTTAGGCTGAGATCCCAGCAGCAGCAGCCACACACACACACACACACACACACACACACACACACACACACACACACACACAGAGATACGGGTCACTTTCTGGAAGCCCAGAGCCTACCTCCTTCCCCAGCATCTACTCCCTTAGAGACTCCAGCTTCCTGCCTCTGAGGCTGGTCCCAAGAGATCAGGAGAGGAAGGGAATAGAAGGAATTTTATTGTTCAGTCATTCTGGTCGTTGGACTGGCCAGTGCTGCAGCAGCAGGGGGCGTGAGAGGGTCATGGAAAGATGGGGGCAGGGAAAAGGGGTGGAGGCAGGGAGAAAGAGAAAGGGAGGGGAGAAGGAGAAAGCCGCCTTTATCTCTCCTAGTTTTGGTCTACTCCATTAAACAAGAACTAGCTGGTGCTGGTCCCAGCTGGGAAGAACAGACAGATTCCGGAATCTCTCTGTCTTCAAAGAATATGGTGACCTAGCCCTCAGCCCCCAGCCCTCTGGAGAATCCTGGTACCCCAGCCCCTTCCTGAGCTACCTTCCGGCCTCAGTCCTCAGATCCCTGGGGAACCCTCATGCCCAAGCCCCCAGCCGCTAGCCCCCAGCTGTCTTCAGCCCTCTTAGGAGTCCTTGTGTCCCAGCCTGCTAGGGAGCCCTCTATCCCCACCTCTCAATCCTCATCCCTCTCAAGGACTGTTACCCCATCGCCCGACCCCATGGGAATCCCAGTGTCCCAGGCTCCTGCTTTCTTATGAAGATCTTCCTACCAGTAACCCAGGCAACAGGGTGAGTCACACACTGGACCTGCTGTCCCCTTCTGCAGGCATCAGCCAGGATTTAAATGACCCCAGGGTAAGGAGGCTTCAGTAGAGTCTCTGGAACGAAGACACAAATCCCAAGCCCCACCATGTATCCCTTTCACTCTTGACCCTATAGATCCTCCTGGGGTCTATAACTTACCTCCACCCAGCCAGCGGTGTTTGTAGGAGAGTCCTCAGAGTGATAAGGGAGTTCAATTCAGCTCTGTTCCCTGGGTGATGTTCAGGGTCAGCCTAGGCCACCTAGGTATGTCCATTCAACTAATATTTACTGAGTACCTGCTAGGGACCAGGCAGTCTTCTAGACACTGAGGATGCGTGGGTGAAAAGGACAGACACAATCCCTGCTCTTACGGAGCTCACAGTATGCGGGGAGGGGGATGGCAGACAGCCCACAAAGAAGAAAACGGGGGAACACTTACCCTATTTTATGGAATGATGTATTGTCTGATTCTAGAATCACAATAAAGTCAATTGAGATCTTTGAAAAAAAAACAAACAAGAAAACAAATAAGCAGGATCATTTCAAATAGTGGTTAGAGCTATAAATAGAATAAAACCCTGTAATACAATAGAGGGTGGGAAGGGAGGGGCAACATTAGTTGGTGGTCAGAGAAGGCCTCTCCAGGCGGCATCATTTGAGCAGTGACCTGAATAATGAAAAAAAGCCACCCTGTGGAGGCCTTGGTGTGAGCCAGTGGGGAAGGAGGTTAAAGAATCTGGATACACCTGGGCACCCACCAAGGAGGTTGTTTTGAGCAGCAACTTCCTGACCTTGTGTCCCTGGAATGTCCCAGGGGCCTGCTTTTCTCCCCTCCCTCCACCTCACCCTCTCCAGGACACTGCACCCCCAACCTCTCTTTCTCCAGCCTGCCCTAGATTCCAAGATTCCTGATTACCATCCAGAGCTGTCCACACTCTTTCATTAACACTGACTTTGCATTGACACAGACTTTGCCAGGCCACCACCAAAGGCTCCTATCATGGTTGTCCAATATCCCTGGCCTCCCCTCACCCCAAAAAACTTTGCAGAGCTTGGCAGCACACCCTGAAGCCTCCAGACCTGTCTATCCACTCACTCCACCCTATCCACGGCCTCTCTCTTTCCCTACCCCCCACTTCTCTGTCTTTCAATTAACATTTATTGGCTGCTGACAGTATGCCAAGCACAGTGTTAGGTAGTCCACGGGGACTCTCGAGATGAATAAGACTTGGTACTGGCCCTGGAGAACTGGGGTCTTGGGAGAGAGGCAGACATGTAAAACACTTTAATAAAGACTTTTCTGAAATGCCAGAGGTTTCTGGTTGCTGTTTCTACCAAGGATCATCAAAGAGGTAAGTTCTTAGATGTGTGAACTTGAACAAATGTCTATCCCCGTACCAACCAGCCGCAAAAAACCCCCCCAAACAAACAAAAAACAAATGACTAACATTCTTTAGCTCTCAGTTTCCTCATTTACAGAATGGAGAAGTTACACTATTCATAAGGTTGCTGTGAAGATTTGATTAAATCATGTAGGTAAAATGCCTGGCACAGTGCTTGGCATATAGGAAGTGCTCAATGTATGAGATATGTTGTTCTTATTATTAACATTGTGCATTTTTTTTCCCTAAGCCTGCTGGGTATAAGAGATGAGGAAGGGCATGTGGGCATGTGACTGGCCGAACCATGGCCCTGCTCAGATGGAATGAAGGCAGATGGGAGGTCCCTTGAACCACATGGTTGTGAAAAGCCTCGTGTGTCCTGCTGAGGAGTTTGGGCTTGATCTGGTCAGTGGAGGAATATCTGTATTTGTGTTTCCTTTTTTTTTTTTTATTGGCAGCTGGCCGGTATGGGGATCTGAACCCTTGTCCCCATCTGCAAACTTGCTACCAGTTTGACTGCTGGCTGCAAAGCCCTCCTAACTCGTCTTGATTGCCATGGCCCACTCTCCACACAGCAGCCGTGGTGATTTTCATTAAATTTAATCGTGTCACTCTCCTGCTGAAAACCCTGCAATGGTTTTCATGATGGTTATATTAAAATCCAAACTACTACTAAAAAAAAAAAAAAAAAAAAAAAAAATCCAAACTACCGGGTTGGCTGATTAGCTCATTGGGAGAGCGTGGTGCTGGTAACATCAAGGTCATGGATTCCTGTACTGGCCAGCCACAAAAAAAAAAAAAAAGAAAGAAAGAAAAAAAATCCAAACTACTTCCTTTGGCCTACAAGGACCTGTAAGGTTGGGCCCCTGCCTACCTCTTGGATCTCATGCTGTATAGATCTTGCCTTCCCTTATTAAAGCCCAGCCTTTGGGGCCGGCCCGGTGGCGCACTGCTACAGTGCGCCGCTTGGGCGCGTAGTGGCGCTCCCGCCGAGGGTTCGGATCCCACATACAGACCGGTTCCCACTCACTGGCTGAGCAAGGTGTGGGAGCAACACCGAGGGTTGCGGTCCCGTTGCTGGTCCCGTTGCCAGACATGAGAAAAGACAAAAAGGAAAAAAAAAAAAAAAAAAGCCCAGCCTTTGCACCTGTACTTCCTTCTTCCTGGAAAGCTCTTCCCCCACTTCTCTCTATAGCTCCTTTTTGTCATTTACGTCTCAGATTAAAAGTCACCTCTTCAGTAAGGCCATCCCTGACCATCCAGGAATTCTCTGTTGGATCACCCCATTTTATTTTTTTTCTGCATAATATTAATATTGTTTTATTTGTTCCCTTATTTTTATTGTCAAGTGGAATGGAAGGCCCAGGAACAAAGGGACCGGAATAGTGCCTGGCTCTAAGCAGACGCTTATTAGATTAGATATGCATTGAGTGAATGAATGGGAGTTGGAACTGGCCTCTGAAGGGTGGGCAGTCTTTCAGGACAATAAAATGGACAAAGGTGTGAAGTCAGGAGTAAGCACAGGCTGTCCTGGGAGTGGCCGTTTTTCCACAGTTCTTCTCTTAACTTCTCATGGTATTTTTCCTTTGCTAATTGCTTAAGTTTATTTCTCTCTCTCTCTTTTTTGGCAGCTGGCAGGTACCAGGATCCAAACCCATGACGTTGGGGTTATAAGGCTGTGCTCTAACCAGCCAGCCCTGTTTAAGCTCTAAAAATGAATATTGTCCTACCTTCAGCTTCCTGAGAAGTAAAAAAGGACTGAAAGGAAAAGGAACTATGAGTTGCCCCAGTTTTCCCTTTCCTTCTATGTCATTGTTGCCAGTGTAAGTGGCCAGTCAATACAGAGAAGTAACACGACTAAGAAAGGATATGATAGGAAGCCTTGATCATCCACGTCTCCTAGAATGCCATTGCTTTCTCTCTGTGTTTGATGCAAGTTCTGCTTCTAAAGGAAAGTGTGGCCGCACTGCTGTCGGCACCCCGACTTATTCAGTTGTAGACATAACATGTTCACCTTGCACTTGATTTGAGTCTGGCTGAACCCTCGTGCATTGTAGATTCACTAGAATTCTGTGCTCATGGAGCATCTCAAATACTATGGGAATAAGATAGCATATTACACATATTTCCTCTGCTCACAGGCATGTGCCAATGTCCCATTGGCCTCCACAAAGCACAAGTTCAGAGATAAAGCTATTAAGGGGGCCGGCCCGTGGCTCACCAAGGCCATGGGTTCGGACCCTATATAGGGATGGCCGGTTGGCTCACTGGGTGAGCGTGGTGCTGACAACACCAAGTCAAGGGTTAAGATCCCCTTACTGGTCATCTTTTTTTTCTTTAAGATAAAACTATTAAGAATCTTCAGATGAAGACAGCAGAGCATTAAACCAAGCAATTCTGAGCACAGGCCTTGTGCAACAGCAGGTCCCACGTCATGAAGCTGGTCCTGGACTGGAGGGAGTGAGTTTAAGGACAAGATGTGAGATGTTGAGGACTTGGGCCAAGGATTTAGAGTGAGAGTTGAAAGGAGAAGAAAAACCTCTCCAAGGGAAAGTGACAAGATTTGAAGAAAGGTTAAAAGAAGTAGAGATGATGGTTCTTAACCTGTGGTATTTAGAGGCTCTTCTACTCCCCTGCTAGACTGCAGGCCTCTTGAGCCCTGTGACAGCTGTGCCTTCATTCTAACCTAGCTTGGTCTCCCAGGGCCAGAGCTGCACACGGCCTGTAGTAGGTGCTCAATTAAATGTTTGCTGACCCACATAGACAAGGCGGGGACATGAAGGTGAGGGTGCGGGAAGGAAAGCAGACCTGGCTGCAGGGCTGGGATCTCAGGGCAATGCTGGGAGCTGGGAATGTGGTGTCAGGAGGGACTCAGGGAGACATGGTGGGAAGATGTGGAAGCTCCTGCGAGGGTAGAGAACCAGGTGGTGCGGTCTGGGGGCTGGGCGACTGAAGAAGGAGGTGTGTTATGAGTGGGGGCTGGTACCAGCTCCCATTACGGGATTTTCCCTCCTTTTGTGGCGTTTATCCATCTCTGTGCGGCCTGTTCTAGCTTCCAGCCCGGGGGCGGGGGGGGCCAGCATCCCGGCTGGTTTCTGCTCGCTCTTGGTCTCTGGCTCTTTCTCTGTTCCTCTCACATTCAGCTCGGTCTGTCTCCCTGACAGTTTCGCTCCATCTGTATCTTAGTCCCTTTCTAACTCCCTCCTTGGGGCCCCACCTTTGAGCACGTTATCTGCTTCCCTCTTCGTCTCTGAGTCTGTCTGGGGTTATCTTCCTTCTACTCCGCCCAGACACGCTCTCTATCTCCTTTCCACCCGGCTCCAGTCCAGTAGCTGGGGTGGGGGTAGGGGAGGAACCGCGTGGTCCCAAAGAGACGGCGGGGGGCGGGCTCAATCCCTCTCCATATTTGCATATGTATGAGGCCGCCCAGCCCGCGGCGAGGGGGCGGGGCTCCTGGGGGTGGGGTGAGGGCGGGCACCCTCACCGCCGCAGAGTATAAAGACGGCGCGCGGCGACCGCCGGCCCCGCACTGCTGAGAAGCGGAGCCTCCGCTCGGGGGACCTCCGTCCCTGGCTGTCCCCCGACTGCGCGTCCCCGCCCTACCCCCGCGGCGGCACCACTAGTGGTGCGGCGGGCTCCGCTGGGCGGAGGAGCCCTGAACGGTCACCAGTCCCTTTTTACAGCCTCTTTGCATCTCGGATTTCGGGGCGGCCCCTCCCCCACCTCTCCCTGCCTCTTTGCACCCCGCTTTTTTCTGCATTTCGCTCGGTTTTGTGGCCTCCCGTTTTTGTACCCCTTTTCGTTTTGCTTCTGGGAGGTTTGGGGGTTGAAGCTGCATTTGCACTCCTTTCCCTTGTTATCCTCCCCTGCTCTGACAGTCCCCCTTTTCATCGCAGTCGGGGGGCCTAGGATCGGTGCATACTCCGCCGCGCTGCCGGTACCCCACAGCGCGTGGCCGTGCACCCCGGAATTTGCAGCAGCTGCATATCTGAGGGGGTCCCCCTCGACCCCGCCGCCTTTGCTCCTCGCGCGTTCAGCGCGCGGCGCCCCTGCTTCTCCGCAGCCCCTCGCCCCGCGCCGCCAAGATGGTCATCCAGAAAGAGAAGAAGAGCTGTGGGCAGGTGGTTGAGGAGTGGAAGGAGTTCGTGTGGAACCCGAGGACGCACCAGTTCATGGGCCGCACCGGGACCAGCTGGGGTACGCGGGGCCCGCGAGCGAGGGGCTGGGGTGGGCCACCGGGCGACGCCTCGGGGGCGCAGGGTCCAGCCGGCTCGGCCCCAGCTCCCCTCCCGGGTCCCCGGCGTCCGGCCCCCCTGCCGGGCTCTGGGCTGGGAGGGGGCCGAATCACCGGTCTAATCTCCCGGGCTGGCCTCTGCGGAGGCGGAGAAAGTAGGTCACTGCCGCCTTCCCGCCCCCCGCGGAGCCCCTCGGGCGGGGGGTCGCGGGCCTGCGAGCGTGTCCGCGCCGCGGCGCTCAAGCTACCTCTCGGGGCCTGTCCGCCCCGCACGGCCGTCCCCCACCTCCGAAGAGCGCCCCTTCCCTCACTCCGGCTCTCACTAGCTCGCCAGCCCCGTCTATTTTTAGCTCTTGCCCACCCCCTGGACCCTGGGAAGATTCATGAGGGGGCGGGTCTTGGAGGGGGTGTGTGAAGGGGGTGCTTCACAGCGGAAGGTGCCTGTCTGTAGCCCACCGCCGGCTGTGGGGAGCTTCCTGGGGCTGCTTCGTAGGTGGGGGGCTGCTGGGGAGGGGTGAGTCTGTGGGGCTCTGGAAGCCGGGTGTTCTGCTCAGGTGGCAGCGGCGGAGGGACCACTCCTCGGTCTCTGTGGTGAGATGCGTACATTATCCGGCCGGTTATCTCTGTGGGAGTCGGCTGGCCTGGGACCTTCCCCACCCTTATCATGGCAGGACGCAGGGGTGTGGAGGGAGCTGTAGTGGTCGGGGAATCTGATGATGGGCACAGGTGCAGGTGAGGGGTGGAACTTTTCCAAAAAGGATTGCTAGCTGGGAAGTCAAGAACGGGGGATGACACTGTGTGACACAATTTACAATTTACCCACATGGATTGGACGCTGTCCCCCTCAAGCCATCCCCCTAGGGGCCCGTGAGTTGGATCCAATACAGTCCTCGTCCTCAGGGAACTCAAAGTCCAGCCCCTGGGATGGGAGGGCTGCAGGCATGCTTGGGAGAGTCTGAGGACGTGTGGAGGAAGTGTCTTCTGAGACACGAGGACTCGGAGTCAGTGTGGTGGGAACAGCAGGCCCTTACCCCTGGCTGAGGGAAGTGGAGAGTGTCAAGGAAAGGCTGCAGGAGACTCCTCTGCCCAGGGAGCTGTATGGGAGCCGTGGGTGCAGTGACTGTCGAAGGTTCCAACAGCTGTCTCAGGGATTTTGCAGCTAGGCCAGAATGTTAGGGCCTTCATTTCAGGAGCTGCATTCAACGTTCAAGGTTTGAGTTCAGGGTTGGCTGTTTAGCTTGGTTGGTTAGAACACAGCCTTGTAGGACCAGGCCGGTGGCTCACTTGGGAGAGCGTGGTGCTGACAAAACCAAGTCAAGGGTTAAGATCCCCTTACCAGTCATCTTTTAGAAAAAAAAAAAAAAAGGACACAGCCTTGTAACACCAAGGTCAGAGGTTCAGATCCCCATACCAGCCAGCTGCCCCCCCCCCCCAAAAAAGAAAAGGTTTGGCTTCCCTGGGGCCCCAGGAGAGATTTTGTTACTCAAGTCTGAGGGCCCAGGTTCTGCAGGGTGGGATGAGAGTTTGCTGTGCATGGTGGCCACTATCACCTTAAAAAGTCATTGTGCTAGAACAGCTTTAAGCTAGAGTATCAATACAGCAATAACAGATGCTGTGTCTTCTCAGGACCATGCATGGTTGAGAAGTTGGAAATATAATTGGATGTGAAATGACAGCCTATATACATGGGGTTGTCCCAGCAATGAGAGTTTTGGTCTCTTGTGGCCTCCACAAGGTCAGGCCTCACTGTGCCCTAAGCGCGGGAGGGGGTTGGGAGTCATGGCTGGAAGCCAGACACACTGCCTATTTCCAGCTTGTCTCATTTTGCTCCCAGGGGAAGGCTCTAAGTCTGGTGGCTCTGTGACCCACCCCAGTGCAGAACTTCTGAGTGGGTAGAGGGGTGTGTGCGGATGGGTAAGATCATGGCGGGAGACTTTGAACCGCTGACCTTGTTTCCTCCTCTCTAGCCTTTATCCTCCTCTTCTACCTCGTCTTTTATGGCTTCCTCACAGCCATGTTCACCCTCACCATGTGGGTGATGTTGCAGACTGTCTCTGACCATACTCCCAAGTACCAGGACCGACTGGCCACACCGGGTGAGTGATGAGCTCCCCCTACCAGCCACTCTAACCGCTGTTGTGACCCCAAGCCTCCAAAACAAACGCACAGTTCTTTCCAGGAGTTTGGTTCTGATGATCCAATCACCATGTGCTGGGAAGTTCTTCTTGAAGTCTGCCTTCCTTCCCATTTCCTGCAGCTGGGAGCTGTGCAGTCTGGAGAGGTGGCAGATATTCACAGGAAATCGCCCTCCCTTGAAGACAGTCTCAGATCTTCACCCTATCCCTCACCCTGGTGTTCGATATGTCCATCTTTCCTTTCTGTGTGGTCCATCATCTTATATATGCCCCCACTCCCACCCTCGTCGGCTGTAGGTTTGATGATTCGCCCCAAGACTGAGAACCTTGATGTCATTGTCAACGTCAGTGACACTGAAAGCTGGGACCAGCATGTTCAGAAGCTCAACAAGTTCTTGGAGCGTGAGTGTGGGGCTGGCTATGTGGCTGTCTGGGACCTTGGACAAGGGATTGTGGACCCTGGAAGTGGAACTTCAGGCCTTTGATCCTCTCCCTCCCATTTCCTTAGCTTACAACGACTCCATCCAGGCCCAAAAGAATGATGTCTGCCGTCCTGGGCGCTATTACGAACAGCCAGATAATGGAGTTCTCAACTACCCGAAACGTGCCTGCCAATTCAACCGGACCCAGCTGGGTGACTGCTCCGGCATCGGAGACCCCACCCACTATGGTTACAGCACTGGGCAGCCCTGTGTCTTCATCAAGATGAACCGGGTACCCATGACCTTGGTCCCCAGGGAGAATGGAGGAGGGAGCTGGGGACAGCATCTGCTCACAATTGCATCCTTTCGCCAGGGCTAATGGGCATTAGAGAGATTTTTGGATGTTTGATTCGCTGATAGAACAAGAGAGTTGGGGCCATTGGAGGCTAAGCCCCCCACCTGGAAGGCTGGATGTCTGTCTTTGACAACTTTTTCCTCCAACTCTCACCCCGCCACCCTCCTAACTCCAGGTCATCAACTTCTATGCAGGAGCAAACCAGAGCATGAATGTTACCTGTGCTGGGAAGGTGAGTTTGTTGGGCGTCATCCACCTGCCCACGTGTTTGTCCTTCATGGTTTCCATGTAATTCACCCATCTCTCCTTATCTTCTTTGCTTCCAGAGGCCCCATTACTATAGGGACGAGGGGGTAAGAGTGGGCTCCCACCCCCCCCTTTTGCTTTTCTCTAGGATGCAGAAGCCTGCCTCTCATGTGGAGACACACCCCTTCCTTCACCTTGGCCTCTGGTTTCTCCCCCTAATCCTTCCACCTTCTCCTTCATTCCCTGATTGTCCATGTCTTCTGCTCTCCCCTCCTCAGTTCCTTTTAGGTACTTGAGATAGCTGCTGATCTGTTAGCACCATCTGCTACCACTAAGTTGTCCTTGGAACCCCTCTCTTCCCACTCTGTCCCTTCTAGAAACTTGCTACCCCTCTCCATGCACCCTCCCTCCTTGCCTCCTACTGAGCCCTTACTCATTTATCTGTTCTCTCTTGGCTCTGCTCCAGAAACTGATTCCTGAGGATGTGGTAAGAACCTGGGGTAGAAGTGGAGTAGGAGGCTTCCGTGTCACTAGCACCCTTCAGGAGTTCCCAGCCTGAGAGAGACAGGTCACCCGCTCCTCTCCACACACACACATTCACAGCTCAAGGGAAACAGTTTGGAGACAGGAACAATTTGGGGTGAAAGAAGAACAAAGGAAAGTCTGGTGAGCTTCTGGGTGCCAGCCATCCCTAACATGCTCTCCCCGCACCTTCCTGCACCCCCACAGAGAGATGAGGACGCAGAGAATCTGGGCAACTTTGTCATGTTCCCGGCCAATGGCAACATCGACCTCATGTACTTCCCCTACTACGGCAAAAAGTTCCATGTAAGTCCCACGGGAGGCCGGGGTGCTGCCTCCTCTAGGGGTCCGGGGTTCTTGGGACAGAGGCTGAGTTGCCCTAGGCCTAGACCCTCACTCTCCTTCTCTGGCCCAGGTGAACTACACGCAGCCCCTGGTGGCCGTGAAGTTCCTGAATGTGACCCCCAACGTGGAGGTGAACGTGGAATGCCGCATCAACGCTGCCAACATCGCCACGGATGATGAGCGAGACAAGTTCGCCGGCCGTGTGGCCTTCAAACTCCGCATCAACAAAACCTGAGGCCCCTTCCTCCCGCCCCCACCTCTCCTGTGGATGCTTCTGGAATGTCCCTGACCTTGCCTGATCTCTCCCTCACCCACCCCAAAGGTATTTTTTACTACAGACCTATGACTTGTCTGAGCCTCACGCCCTTTTCCTTGACTTCACCCAGCCTGATTTCCACCGTGGTTCCTTGGCTACACGCCTTCCCCCCATCTCCTCCCAGTCCTAGCTCAGAGATGGGGAGATGGGCTACCCAGGTGGCCACAGAGAAGCTAAGAGCCTTTCTAGTTCTGGTTTGGCAGTGAGTGGGATGTCTTCATGACTACCCATCTCTCCTGCCCTCCCGTCCTCTGAGCTATAAAAAATGCCCACCAATCCCCCGCCTACACACACACTGTGCACGCGTGCGTGTGCACACACGCACCCCTCGTTCCACCCAGGGGTGAGTGTGGGACTCCCTTCCTCCTAGGCTTCCGCGCTATACCTTTCTCTGCCTCTCACACTTTCTCCCTCATATACACAGTCGCTTTCTTGGCGGCTTTGGACTTATCTGGCTCCTCTGGCAGGATTTATCCTCCTCCTCTCCATCCCTATTCCCTCCTCTGAAAGGCAACCATTTGCGATTGAGGACAAGGTGGTTCTGTGGCCTTTTCCCTCTTTCCTGGCACATCCTGCTTCTCACCCTATGATGACTCCATGAGCTGGGAAATGAGAGACTGGAAGAAAAGTCCATGTTGATTCTTCCTGAAAATTCTCTAATGGTTCCTGACTCCAGTTTCTTCCTGGTCCATCCTGTCACCCAAATAGCTACTACTCAGAGGGATGGGGTTGACCTAGGCTGAATATCCACTTTGTTTGTACTGGTGGCTCCCTTCCCCCTATTCATCTTCCCAGAATATCCTTCAAGTTCCACTTCCCAGGGAGCTCTGGGGGAGGGGCTGCCATTTTGGCTCTGTCCCCAGTGGCCACCTTGGAAACGTCAGCTGGCTATGGGACTATTCCACCTCCTTCCCTGAGCCCAGATCTGCCCCCACCATCCTCTCTGGCTTCTCTTAGCAGGTTATCAACGAATCACTAACTCCTTCCCTTTCTTCCGCATGCCAGCCTGAAAGTTTCACATAGTCTCCTCAATGTAGACTTTGAATTTCTTGGCTCCATCTCCTTCAGACCCTTTCCCTTTTTAAAAAACCCCATAATGCCCATAGAATGTTAAATGAGGAGCCTCCTGCTCTGAATATTCTTTAGTTACAGGGACATTTGAACTCTTCCTCCTCTGGTGTCCCTCCACTTCATCCTGTCTAACCTCCCTTCCCTACTTAATGCTGCAGCCTCCACACCCCACCCACAAACGGACTCTTCCCCTTTTCCTCTTGCTGCATCTGTGTCTTCCCTTCGGGTCCCCGTGTTTTCCTGCACCCCCTCTCCCCAGTGGTTTCTCTCTGCAGTTATTTAATGCCTGTGTCAGATCTACTGTAAAAAGAGGATAAAGTACAATAAAATGAGAGCAATTATATATATAAATATATATCATACACAGAGCCCTGTGTGTGGGTTGTTCCTTTTTGAACATTTGGAAGGGGCTGGAAGGTAAATTTGGGCTTGGGGGCTGCTCCCCAGCTTTGACTTCTTCCTTCTAGTTTCCAAGCATCTACCGCCTTGACCTCGACTAATTTAACGCACACTGTCTTGAGATCACTCAATACAAGAGAGGCAGGAAGCCTGCATCCCTTTGTACAGCGATACTTATAAAGTGCCTGCTATGTGCGTTCTAGGCACCATGAGGACACACTTATGAAAGAGGCAGAGTTCCTGCCCCCAAGGAGCTCCCCAGTTTAACAGGAGAGGTGAGGAGCACACGAGAAACTCTCAAACAAGGTAGACCTAAACGTGCTTTGAGGAAGGGGAGAAAGCTGGTGACGACAAAATTCAGAGTGGTCAACCACTCTCTGTCGGGGCTTCAAAGGGAAGGTTTTTTAGAGGCAGCATTTATGGTGGAGCTTAAAGGATGAGGTGGTTTGGGGAGAGAAGAGCATCAGTAAATGCTTAGAGACAGAGAAAAGGTGACTAGAGGAAGCATGGATCTCAAAACAATATGAACTGTATGATCCTCATTTTGTGTAAAACTACAAACATACATGCACACGCACATAAACATAGAAAAAAAGGATGGATGGATAGTCAATGTTTATTGTGACATGGGGGAGGGGATAGGTTTATAATTAATTTTCTTCCTGGGGCTTTTTTTTTTAATGCTTTCTTCTGTTTTGTCTTACAATGAGTTGGTCTTAGTACCTGCCTTGAAAGATGGCTTTATTACATAATATATATACACAATTTTACCATGAATGCATATAAAACACACACCATCATATACATAAGGATCACTGGGTTTTGGTCATTGTTATACCAAAATTGGATCATATTATACACTTTTGTGTATCTCACTTTTTCCACTCAATAAATTTCATGTGTTGGTACTTCACCTGGTAGAGCTCAAATTCATTTTTTTTTTTTTTTTTTAAAGATGACTGGTAAGGGGATCTCAACCCTTAGCTTGGTGTTGTCAGCACCACACTCAGCCAGTGAGCGAACCAGCCATCCCTATATAGGATCCGAACCCATGGCCTTGGTGTTATCAGCACCGCACTCTCCCGAGTGAGCCACGGGCCGGCCCTAAATTCATTTTTTTTAATAGCTGCATAATATTCTTGTTTTTCTTTCTTTCTTTTTTTTTTTTTTTGTCTTTTGTCTTTTTCCGTGTGCTGCCCCCGCACCGGACCGGGGACCGGCAACGGGATTGCAACCTTCGGTGTTGCTCCCGTGCCTCGTGCCTCGCTCAGCCAGAGAGCGGGAACCGGTCTGTATGTGGGATCCGAACCCTCGGGCGGGAGCGCCGCCGTGCCTCCCAAGCGGTGCACTATCCAGTGCGCCACCGGGCCGGCCCATATTCTTGTTTTTCTACTAGGTTATTATCCCTTTGTTTGTTAGAGCTCCTTGAAATTTTTGATATAAAGTTTCTGCATTGAAAAATATCCCCCAAACCATTATTTACCACTTGACTTTGTGGTACCTTTTGCGCTTAAAACGTTTTTTGTTTTCCCGCTGGCCAGTTAGCTCAGCGGGTTATAAGCATGATATTATAACATTAAGGTCAAGTGTTTGGATCCCTGTATCAGCCAGCCGCCAACAACAACAACAAAAAAGTTTTTTGTTTTCATGTAGTCAAATATAGCTTAGTTGTTCTTTTGTAGTTTCTTGGTTTCCAGTTACTAGTATATACTCGCATTTCCTGGATCTTTTTATTTTTGGGTGCTGGCTGGTAAGAGAAACCAAACCGTTGACCTGGGTGTTATCAGCACTGTGCTCTAACCAAGTGAGCTAACAGGCAGCCCTCATTTTAATTTTTACGTTCATTTTAATTCATCTGGTTTATTTTTGTGTCTGTTTTGTGTGTGGTATAAATTAGGGGTCTCATTTTATTTTCCCAGTTGTGCCAGCTTCATTTATTATTTTAAAATCCTTAACTTATTCCCATTGAATTGAAATGCCAACTTTGGCATATCGTAATTTTCCTGTCCCCTGAGATCTAGTTCTGAATTCATCACTTGCTTCCCCTAGCTTGTCTGCCACTCCATCCACCAAGCCATACTGATCTAATTCTAATAGCTTCATAGCATGTTTTCTGATATCTGGCAAGGCAAATAGGATCCCTCCCCATTCTTCTTCAAGGCAACTATTGGCTATACTTGGGCATATATTATTCTCTATAAATTTATAACTTTAATTTACAAAAACAAAACAAAAACACCAAAATTTCTTGGGATTCTAATTGGAATTGCACTGTATATTTATTTATTTCAACATAATTGACTTTGTTTTAGGGTATTAAGTTTTCCCATATGAAAACATTATCTCCTTTCCTTTTTTTTGATCTTGGCTCATGTCCATATGAGGTTTTATATACTTTTCTTCAGGGCTTGCTGGTTTGCTCAGTTGGTTAGAGCACAGCCTTACAACACCAAGGTCATGGGTTTGGATCCCTGTACTAGCAAGCGACCAAAAAAATATATATATGTATATTTTTCTTCATATAGGTTTTGTGCCACTCTTCATTCTTATTAAACTTGTTCCTAAATAGCTTATTGCTTGTCTTTTTTTTTTTTTTTTTGGTAATTGGCTGGTACAGGGACCCAAAACCTTGACCTTGGTGTATCAACACTGTACTCTAACCAACTGAGCTAACTTAACTGGCTAGCCCTTCTTGTTATTTTGAATGGTATGTTTTCTTCTTTTGTTTTTTCAGTGCTTTTGCTAGAAGATAAAATTAATATTTTCTTCCTCGGTTGTATAGTGGTGAGAAAAAAAAATATTTTCTACCTACTATACTATATGTCTACATTACTAAATTCTCTTAATTCCATAAAATCTCTATTAGTCTCTTGAGTTTTTAGATATGTAATCCCGTGATCAAAAAGGCAAAGGGTTGCTTGCTTTGGCAGCACTTATGCCAAAACTGGAACAATACAGAGAAAATTAACATGGGCCCTGTGAAAATTTGTGAGGCATTTGGGGCCAGCCCGTGGCTCACTCGGGAGAGAGCGGTGCTGATAACACCAAGGCCACAGGTTCGGATCCCATATAGGGATGGCCGGTTAGCTCACTGGGTGAGCGTGGTGCTGACAACACCAAGTCAAGGGTTAAGATCCCCTTACCAGTCGTCTTTAAAAAAAAAAAAAAAAAAAAAATTTGTGAGGCATTTCATATTAAAAAAAAAAAAAAAAAGGTAAAGGGATATTTTTTGCCAGTGACTTGTTTTCTTCTTTTTTGGTCCTCTTGAATGCACTAAAATTGCAGTTAGTGGACATCCCTGTATAGTTCTTAATTTTTTTTTTTTTAAAGATGACTGGTAAGGGGATCTTAACCCTTGACTTGATGTTGTCAGCACCACGCTCAGCCGGTGAGCGAACCGGCCATCCCTATATGGGATCCGAACCCGGGGCCTTGGTGTTATCAGCACCACATTCTCCCAAGTGAGCCATGGGCCGGCCCCAAGTCGGCATAATTTTAAGTGAATTAGAGATTTCACTCTGTTCCCTGTGGCCCAGAATGGTTTAAATAACATTGGGTCATTTAGTTCTTTTGGGGTTTTTATTTAATTTTACTTCTTTTTAATATTTGTTCTTTTTTACCCATTTGGTTCTTGATCTTTTTAACTCCAGCCAGCTCTTGAGTTTTTCTTTTTTACATGTATCTCAATTTTTTTTTTTATAAGTTGGTGGCTGACCGGTATGGGGATCCGAACCTTTGACCTTGATGTCCAATGTCTTTTTTTAAGACCTTACTTTTTTTTTCTTCTTTTGCTGGCCAGTACAGGGATGGAAACCTGGATCTTGGTGTTATCAGCACCATGCTCTAACCAACTGAGCTAATCTGCCAGCTAGCCCCCACTTTTGGATTTATCCTTTCAACCAACTTTGTTTTTTCTTTTTTTTTTTTTTTTTCCTTTTTGTCTTTTTCTGTGTCCGGCAATGGATCGCAACCCTCAGTGTCGCCCCCGTACCGGACCGGGACCAGCAACGGGATTGCACCCCTCGGTGTTGCTCCCGCGCCTCGCTCAGCCAGTGAGCGGGAACCGGTCTGTATGTGGGATCCGAACCCTCGGCGGGAGCGACGCCGCGCTTCCCAAGCGGCGCACTGTAGCAGTGCGCCACCGGGCCGGCCCTGTTTTTTCTTTCAATCATTTCAGTTTGTGACTTTACTTTTTAGGATGCATATAGGTTCCTTTCTCTTCTCTTTTTAATAATGAAAACATTTAAGGCTATACATTTTCCTCAGAGTATGACTTTTAGATTTGGAGACCTGTGTTCCTGAAATGAGGGAGAAAAGTTTTCTAAATTAAAAAATAGAATATACTGATTTAAGGTTTTAAATTGCAAGTCTGGATTCGAGTCATGAAGAAATTGGAAGATTGGACTCCAGACCTCAGTGGGATAAGGCCCTGGCTCTTTGAACTCGAGGGCAGACCATGTCTGCCACAGGTCCCCAGGGCCTAGAACAGTGCCCAGAAGAGTAAGGCATCAGTGAATAAATAACCACTGACTAGATGGACAGATGACTGACTGAATGCAGCTTAGAGGAAAAGAAGCCAGCAGGGAGAAGCAGAGAGGTTAGGGACTCATTGAAGGTCACACAGCTCATAGCAGAGCTGTACTGAAAACCCAGGCTTCATAATTCTCAGTCCAGTACCTATCAGCTCACAAAGAGATTAGTGGAGCCAGAATGGATCTGCTTTCTGAAGCAGTACAGCAGAAAAACAGAGCTAGGAACACAATCTAGGGAAATGTTGAGGATAAGAGGGTACGGGATGCTGGTCAAAGCAGGAACTTTTCTGTTTACTTGAAACTTTCAAAGAGAGTAGATCTTGTGTTCTCACCACATGCATGTACACACACTGTGTGTGGTGACTAATGTGTTAATCTGACTTTGGTCATTTTATAATGAATGCATACATCAAATCATCACATTGTATACCGTGAATATATACAATTTTGGGGGGGTCAACTACACCCCAATAAAGCTAGAAAAAAAAAATAAGAAAAATAAGTCTTTCAAGATGACCAGTCTACATGAGCAAGGAGAGGGGCTGAGTTTCAAGAGCTCTGGTTTGCTGGGTGGGTAGGGGGAGATGACTAAGTTAAAGGTCTCTGAAAGAGGGTGGATCTGCTCTCCTGGGAAGAGCATTTGGCATTCCTTAGTAAGAAGGAGAAAGAAGGTGGTCTTGAGGGCAAGGAGGTTGGCCACTTCCAGTCATCTAGGATCCTTAGGGCAAGGTGAGGGGCTCCCACTGACACTTTAAGCCTGGTTGGTAGGCTGAGGAGAGTGGCCCCAGAAGCCTCTCTCCACCACCAGGGAGGAGATGCCCCCAACCCCCCTCCCTGGGAGCTGGCAGCACCGAGGAACAGGACAGGCAGTGGGTGCTGAGCTCCCCAACCCCGACTCTCCTCCCTACCCCAAGAAGCCCTTTGAAAGGTTTTCCTGGCAGACTTTAAAGCTTCAATTCATTCAACCTCCTGGCCTGAGGCCCAGGGTAAGGGGATGCCAGGAAGGCTGCAGCCCCACATCCTAGTCCTCACCTTAGCTGCCCCCACCTTCCTGGACCCTGGCTGGCAGGCCTCCCACCAGCCTCTCTTCGTCCACAGCACCCACCCTTTTCCCCTTGGGAACCCAGGTATCTTACCCCTTTTCTGTGGAGCAGATGGCCACCCAGGAGGCTCAGGCTTGCTAAATCAGACATTTAAATCCCATAATCCTTGGTGAGCGGCAGCTGAGGGGGCAGCAGCCCAACCCGAGTAGCAAGGGAGGGAGAAAACCTTGTGCCAGCCCTGGCAGGGGGGAGGAGGGACAGTTGGTTCCCAAGTTATGAATGGAGTCGCCCCCCTCCCTTGTTGTCATGCAGCCCGCAGACTGACCCAGTCTCCAGCCTTTGTTCCCCTCCCGGAACCCAGGCGTTGGGCCCCCAACCCACACTCCCTGGAGACTCAGGTGGCTGCCTCCCAAGTTCATCTCCTACTCACCCCTCACCTGCAGGGCCCAGGCAACCTGCACTGGCACCCACCCCTCAGACACACAGGTGGTAGCAAAGTTTTATTGTAAAATAAGAAACCAATATAAAAATGAGATATAAAAAGGGAGGAGATGGGGTGGGGGTGACAAAGGCAGATGTGCATGGCAGAGTATATAAAACATTGACCCTGAGCATTTGGGGGAAGTAAAACAGGGCTTGGTGGACACAGATCTTACACAAGAGATGGAATCTTCTAGGGTGTGGGATGGGGTGAGATTTCCTTCTACGTGCCAGGGTTCACCAAGAGGTTGGCTGGGCCAGCAGAGCCTTAGAAACCCCCTCCCCTTGACCTGCTGCCCAATCACAGAAAGTATCAATTCATCCACCAACAGGGACAGGGAACCAGCACCACAAGGGGGCCCAGTCCCAGACACCATGTAATAAAAAGTGGTTTCATACATTATTTCATTAACCCTCACAACAAACTCCGTGAGGTAGGTACGATTATCAGCATTTCATAAGTGTGGACTTTGAAGTTAGGAAAAATTAAACAACTTGAGATAGCTTCCCTAGTTAGTATGGTGGAGAACTGGGCTTCCAACCCAGTGTATGGCTGGTGGTAAAATCTAACCCTTACATGCAAGAACATTTTCTTACCTCTCCCAAACATTCCTCACAGTAAAAACCTTAAAAGCTAAGTTGGTGTGTCCTAGCTCCTATCTCCCCCACAAAACACCGGTGCAGGCCAACTTCTTTAATAAAGCCCCACACCAAGGCAAACGGAAGAATTCCTGTGTATTCTTGAGGCACATCTATACCAAGCAGGGATTCAAGCACCAGAATCTCAAAATGCCAGGGAAGAGGGGTAAGGGTGGGAGGGGGGGCAATCAATAGGGGACAAGAAGCAGAGGACATCAGTCTGAGTCGGGCCCCTCTTTCTTGAACATTATTTTTTTATGGCGGGGAGTAGATTGCCCCTTCTTGGACTTCAGGTGTCTGTAGGGGAGACAGAAGAGGGAAGGAGGGGAGATGACATCACATGAGTGAGAGAGTCTGGGCCCCTCTTCTCCTTAATCAAGGCTTTGAAGGGCCTAAAGGCTAGAACAAGGGGAATTTAAGTAAAGGTGGTCACCACCACCTGTACATATGTTTCCTGAGCATATTGAAGTATTTGTGTGTATTAATCTCTTAATATTCCCTTACCCATTTTATAAACGAGGAAACTGAGCCTGGGAGGGGGAAGTAACAAGGTGCACAGGACCTGCTAGTATTTGGCAGGGCTGAGTATCTGATCCTAAACCCCAGCTCTTCCTAGCATTTATACACAAATATTAGGCCTCTCCTTGAGACCCCTAAGCTTTGAGCTAGGAGTTGCTGAGAATGGCAAAGAAATACCCACATTCATCCCTGGGTTTGAGAAGTTTGTGGACCCGAGGCAGGAAAGTGGCTGTATAATACAACAGGAGGAAGACTAAAGGAATATTTGAGCATCCCAATGGGATGGGATCAGCTGCCTTTTACAATGAAGGCAGGATTAGAATAGAATCCTGTGGTTTTCCAGCATAGGAAGGCAGGGGAGTAGGGCTGGGAGTGGGCCCAGGTCACTCACCTGGAGTGAGCCCTGCTCCCCCCAGGCTCCTTCCCAGTTTGGGCATCCTTGAGTTCCAAGGCCTCATTCAGCTCCCGGAACATCTCAAAGCGTTCACGCCCACGGATCTGCAGCCAAAGAGGAGGTGGGGAGGAAGAAGTATCAGGCAAAGTCACAGAACCATTTTCACACTCTAACAATTTTCTTTTTGAAAGGTGGCCCTTTAAAATGTATGTTATGGTACAAGCTGATGTTCTGAAGGTACAACCAGGAGTCATTGTCTCTGAAGCACCACTGCCTCCTGATGGCAAATGCCCTAACTGCAGGCAAAGCAGCCAAGAAGAAAATAGCATTTTGAGTGCTAGCCAGACCTAAAACTTTCAACCTGATGTTAATAACTTTACAAGTCAGGGCCATGAACAGAGGAAAGAATGGATACAGAAACTGGGCCTTGCCATATTCCCTACAGTTATATCTTTTCTTCCCTTATCCAATCCCACTTAGTTTATGGAAGAGACTGCATATCTGTCTCCCAGAGTTGGTACCTGAAGGGTGAAATATTCTCCGTCCAGTGGTTTCTTCTTTGGCTGAGGAGAGGAGCTGGTATTGGTGGGCAGTGCTGAGAAAGAGTCAGGAAAGATGAGAAAAGAGTGTACTTGGGGCAGAACTATTCCCTCTCTACCTCCTTCATCTCCTCTTGTCCTGCCTGCTTACCTCGCTTAGTGCTCCCAGGAGGAAGCTCAGGGCAAGGCTCCCCTTTCTTGCGGCGATTTTCTTCCTCTGTGCGCCGGTCTCTCCCAGGACAGGCACAAACGCGTACCTCAAAGCTATTACGTCCCAGGAGGTTACCACTACCCAGGATAAGAAGAGAGAAGCAGGAGGCAGTAAGGACATCAGGCCCTACCTGCCCTATTCCATAAACCAGGCCCCACCTACTCCCAACCACCCTTGTCCTATCTGAAGCCTAAGCTCCACCTTCAGGTGTACCGAGGAGAAGCCACAGGTAAGAGAGGTCCCAAAGCCAGAGAAAACTGGCAGGGAGCAGTAGAGGAGATTCCACGTATGGAGATGGGGCAAGAGGGAAGGATGGGTGGCAGTAAGGAACAAAGTGGTGATGGGCGGAGCCTAGGGGACAAAGACAGGGAGAAGCTGGGGAGGAGCAGGCCAGCGTAAAGGGTGGCGTGTGGCTCCCCACCTGGAGTCTTCCAATGTGATAATGGTGAGGATGGGCCGCCGGTTCATGCCACCCATGCAGGAGCTGTTACACATGTAGTTGTAGTGGATGGTGGTACAGTCAGAGCCGACCTGGGAGAGAACATAGCCCCAAGGTGAGGCCAACCAGCCCTGGGGAGACTGCAACCAGGGGAGGCCTTAGCCTCTATAAGCGTCAGTGTCTCCAACTGCGGAATGGGGATAACCCATCTGCTGTACACACCTCACAGGGTTGTGGGGAGGGCAAATAAGAAGCAAGAAAAAGCCCCACTGCCCCCACTGACAACCCCTCCAGCCCCTCCTCCCAGAGACCCCAGTTGCCAAACCAGACCTCAGGTGGCTCATAGGGCACCACCACACTGTGTCGAAAAGTGTTTCTGTCATCCAAATACTCCACACGCATGTTTCCTTCCACCCGGATGAGGTGCTGAGGAGGGGCCAGACCTAAGGGCAATTGGGGAGGAATCAGAGGTGTGGGGACCCTGGGCAGCCAGCTCTGTCCCGTCTGCAGCCCCCAACCACTCACCATCGCTATCAGAGCAGCGCTCGTGGTGGGGGCAGCGCCTCACGACTTCTGTCATGTGCTGTGACTGCTTGTAGATGGCCATGGCACGGACACGGGCGCCCGGAGGGGGTGTGGAGTCAACCCAGAGCTGCACAGGGCAGGTCTTTGCAAGCTGGCAAAACATCTTGTTGAGGGTAGGGGAGTACTGTAGAAAAAGGACAGAGAGAGGATCGAAGGTCAGGGAATAAGTGAACAAATGAAAGGGTAAAAGGGGATCAAGGGAACAAACACGGCTTCGGGACCTCCTGGAAGCCCCGCAGCGTGAGCGGAGGCAGCCAGAGAGGACAGGGCTGGCGCCTACACCTCAGAAGTTATTCTCAACAGCCAAGAAATGAATGCGAGTAAAGAAAAAGGAAGAAAAGTTCTATGACCCCATGAGAGATGCTGAGAGAATGATGGGAAGGATGAAAGCCCAAGGTCAAGGGGGAAAATTCAACTTTGGGACAAAAATCAAAGGTCATAGACTAACTGAGTAAAATGTAAAGAGACTGATAAGAAGCCAAAGAGGAATCCCAAAGTTCTGAACAGAATATCCCAGGGAGTGGATATGGCCAGGTATTGAAAGGCCACACAGAAGCTAGCCCCTCAGAACCACTGACCGTGCAAGTGACAGACTTGGCTGTCCCAGAATTTAAGAAGCCCAGGCGGAAACCATAGCTGCCAAGGTAGGCCTTCTGGGAAGGGACAGAGGATGACAGAGGCCAGGAGGTGGCTGGGGCAGGGGCCGCTGGTGTGGGGGCAGCTGGTGCAGGAGCCACGGGTGCAGGAGCTGCTGACATTCCGAGAGCTCCATCCGGATCTTCACTGAGCCAGTCTGCAACCTCTTCTGGGGACAGTATGAGATTATCCACTGGTGGGGACAGCGAGGTGGACTGTAGATGGGCAAAATAAGAGTCAGAGGGCCAGGTTCCCAGCCCACCAGCCCACGAGTCCCTGGTCCCTTCCTGCCACCAGTCCTTACCAGAAGGTTGTTTTGAGGAAGTCTGAAAGACAAGAGAAGAAAGTCAGCACCACTGATTTTTTGCTTTCCACAGGCCTCTGCTAGCGGGCTGGAGACTGGGGTGGGAAGGGCAGGGTGGGGATAGTGAACCTCCCCTTCCCATGAGACCCACTCACAGACTCCATAAGTCTGAAAATGTCTCCTGACTCAGGGGGGGCTCGATGCTGAGATCTGACTGCAGCTCCTCCATGGCAGCGTCCTGGAAGGCAGTGTGGCTGCTGTGAGGAGAAAAGCGAGGATCTGGCATGAGACACACCCAACCCCGGGTCACCTGGGCCTGAAGACCCTCTTCCCCAACACCATACTAGCATCTAAGACATGGCCTGAGGATCTGCTACCGGGAAGGGGACACAGCATAACTTCTTAAGGAGCGAGGACAGAACTACTCCTCTACACCTCTCTTGCCATCTTTCACTGCAACGTGGGATCCTCCTGACCCACCACTCACCAGCCACATACTTCTTTGCAAGGATAACCAGAGAGGGACATCCAGTCTTCCCACCACTAAATCCATAAGCCCTCCTAAATTTGCATCCTGGTTTGGCCCTTCTTGATATGGATGCAGTAGCCTGCAGCCCACTCCCTCCATATGGGGAAGGACACGCCCCCTGACCCCAGCCCACATTCCCTACCTGACAGAAGGCTGTGCTTCTCTGATCCCCTTCAATGCATACTCCTTGAAGAGTGACTGTCTCAACTTACCAGCCCATTCCCTGGGGACCCCTCTTCACCTTTGCCTTACAAACCCCCTGCGGCCCGGCCCTCCCTACCTCTTTGATTTCATCTTCTACCAACCACTCCCCCCCATTTGGCAGCTAGCGGGCTGACTGCCCTTCTTTGCTCATCAGCTGGCCCCTCGTCACTGCCTGGTAGGATCCTTCCCACTGCGACCTCATCCTGAATGTCACACCTCAGGGATGTTTCCACCACTTGACTCAGTCACAGAAGCCTGCCAAAGCCCATCAAGTCACCCTTCTTTAATTCACATCACCCTATCTTAATGCTCATAGTACTTACTCAATCTGATACTTTTTCTTGCTTATTTCCTGTTTCTTCTAGGAGGCTATAAAGTTCCTCAGGGCAGAGGAGTGGTCTCTTTTGTTCACCACAGTATTAACAATGCCTTGCACCTGGTTGGGTTCAATAAATGTGGTGAATACGCGTCATTGTACTCAGGCCATGAGCCTGTTACGAGTGGCCATGGGAGCAAGGACAGAGGGGCTGCCCCTGTCTGGGTCAGGGTCGTGCATGAGGATCTGCATCTCACCTTCTCCCAGAGCAGCTTTCAAATGGGTTTACCAAGCTATCTTTCTTCCTTTTCTTTCTTTTTTTTAAAATTTCTTTTGTTCCCCTGCTATCTTTCTTGATGCCAAATTTATCATCAGCTTTGCTAAGAAATGTGCCCACTGTAAATATCTTATTACACTTTTCTTTCTGTCTTGCACTGACTAACATCCCCCTACCAAGCAGCTTTTACTTTTTGTTTGTTTGTGGCAACTGCACCCTTGACCTGGGTGTTATCAGCACCACTCTCTACCAAGTGAGCTAACTGCCTACCTCCCCTCCCCAGAAGCTTTTAATGGTAGGCTCTTTTCTAAATCTTCCTTAACATTTACCTCCACCTTTATGTTGATATTGGGCTTCCTTTCTCATGTACTTAGAGTTTGCAAAACCCTTTTACATGGAGTATCTTATTTATCCTGATAACCACACCTGCCATTTGACAGGGGAAGTCTCCCAGAGGTTAAGTGACCTGCCCGTGGTACACACAGGAGGTGAGTGAATAAGCTTTTAGTAAAAATGATCACTCAAACATCTTTGAGTAAAATGTTTACTCCACCACAGACTCCTCTGCAAAGTGCTCTCTTTTGTAACCAGTTAGGGCAGATCTTAGATGGAAGTCCTCCAAATGAGAGGCTGGCAAAGGATCAGCTATCACAGCCCCTCACCGCAGAATGGAACTGAGTAGACTGCGCCGCATGTGCATAGAGGAAGGAAGGAGGGGGCGACAGGGGGAGTGACTCCAGATATTTGCATTACTGGGGAAGAAACAGGGTCACCTAGATCAGTGATCAGAAGAGACTTTATTTTATTTTGGTGGCTGGCTGGACCTTGGTGTCATCAGCACTACGCTCTAACCAACTGAGCTAACTGGCCAGCCACAAAGAAGAGACTTCTATGGGAGGGAGCTCCTGTGAACGCAGAGGGTGCTCAGAAGTCAAACACTCTGGGTTTGACACTGTACTGTTATTTAAATTTGCTGCATTACCTTACCTATCTTACAGGGATTACCTTTGGCTTGCTCACTTACAAGACCTGCGTTTTACTTATCTTTTATGTTTTTAGTGCAAAGTGCTGAGGGGCTGAGACCCTGGGCAGCAGAGCACAGGCTCCAGGGGCAGCCAGGCTAGGCAGGCATCCCAGGGTCATTGCCTAACAGCTGTGTAACTTTGGGAGATTATTTAACCTCTCCGTGCCTTAGTATCCTTTGCTCTGAAACAGTACCTTACTTATGGGAAATGTAAAGAGCCAAGAAAAGTGCTTAGCACATAGTAAGAGCTCAACAAATGTTAGCGATTTATATAATTATTCTATTTTTATTTGCTCTATATTATTATTCTAGAGAAACTTTGTAACTGTGAGTGCAGCTTTTGTGGTACTGCTCCCACCTCATTAATACAAGTTCACTTCTTTCAGGGAACTCTGTTTGGTAAATGTGCCAGGAGGGGCTGTCCTGGGATGGCAGGCCCAAGGTCTCAATCTCACTGGAGGGTGACAGCTCCCTAGACATTGGTCTCCTTGACTCTATCACTCGTCTTTAGTAGCAACTAAATCCTCAGTGTTTCCCTAAAGAGTAGGCACAGTCATCACTAGCAACCCTTTTCAGAACAGGCACTAGCCACAAGTACCAGCCCCAAGGGGCTGTGATACAAATGTGTTTACAGGGAAATGCAGGCAGCCTAGGCTGGGCAGGAAGACAATAAGCTCAGCTGAGACCCCCAGCTGAGGGGCCGGCCCAGCATCATCATAACAATAGCTGCTTTTTCAGGCTCTATAGGCCTTTAGGCCCACTGTTTTCAGTAGTTTATCTCATTTAATCCTTGTAAAAGGCCAGTAAGGTTGGTATTATCATCAGAAGAGGGAACTGAGAGTTAAAGTAATTGTGTCACTTACCTAGGCTCTTAAAGCTCCCAAGGGGCAGAACCAGGGATTTGAATTTAGGCTGTCTGAAGCTACAGCCGAGCTCTAAATAATTATGCTCCTAAAGTTTCAGAGTCTGGTATAAAAAAAAAAATTTTTTTTTTGTCTGAAACCTATTTGGTTGAGGGGAAAAATTTATTCTAGAAAGTAACAAAGCAGTGTCTGGTAGAACTGCAAACACACAACTTACCACTCAGCAAAACCACTTCTAGGTAGTTTTGCTAGAAAAATGGTACCATGTGGATAGCAGGAGTCTTGCACACAAAAAAAGTTCATGGCAGTGATGTTCCCAATGGTTAGCCACAAGAAACATTGCAATCTTTTGCTAGGGAATGGTAAATAAAACATGTTTCTGAGATATATGTCAGAAACATATTGGTGAAAAATACACTTTGTAGAAAAAAGCAAAACAATGTATGCAGTTATGTAAATTAAAAATACAGAACTATTATTTATTGTTTATAAATAAATGTATGTAAAAGCTTGAAAGACTGTCAAGAAGAATAAAAATTCACAAAACCTACAATAGCAGTGGTCTCAGGAACAGGGGTAGTATGTTTATGGGATAAGGGGTGATAGTCAAAGGGCGCTTTAGCTTTATTAGCAAAGAAAAATAAAAGACGGTATCCATACACTACTTGTGTAATTAAAATATAGAAACAAATAAAATGTTAACTGTTAAAACTATTTGGTGAAAATGCTGTTATTCTTGTACTTGTGTGCATTTTTCTAAAGTAAAAATATCTAAAGAAAATAAATAAAACTTTTAATGGAAAAACTCAAACATATCAACAGGTAAACAGAACAATGTACCCCAGTGTACCCATCACCCAGCCTCATGAATAGTCAACATTCTACCTTTATTATCTCATCCATACTGGGCCACTCTCCACAATGCCACAAAATTTTTTGAGGTAAAATTTACATATGTTGAAATGCACAAATCTTAATTAATCTGACAAATTTTTATATAGCCATGTAACCCACTCCTACCAAGGCAGAAATATCCTGTGACTTCTTCCAAAAGTTTTACAGTTTTATGTTTAGGTCTATTATCCTTCTCAGTTTAACTGTTGTGTATTATGCGAGGAAGGAGTCAAGGTTCATTAGTTTCCCTAATTTGGTCCAGCACCATTTGTTGAAAAGACTTTCCTTCCCCCACTGATTCAACTTTAGCACCTTTGTAGAAAATTATTTGGCCACATGTGTATATCTTTTTCTGGGTTTTACTCAATTTTTCCTTTTTAATTATTATGCTATTTATTTTTCTTGCCTGGTTAGGACCTCCAGTATAATGTTACATGATGACAGTCGAATCCTTTTCTAGTTCCTGATCTTAGAGGAAAAGCGTTCAGTCTTTCACCATTAGGTATGTTGTTAATAGTATCTCGATTGTGGATGCCCTTTTATCAGACTAAGGAAGTTTCCTTTCCCTCGTTTGCTAGGTCTATTTGTTTGAAATCATGAATCGGTTTTGAATGTCATCAACTGCTTTTTCTGCATCTGTTGAAATGATTGTAGGATTTTTATCCTTCAATCTGTTAATGTGGTGAATTACACAGATTGATTTTTCAGTGTTAAAACAACATAGTAATCCTGGGATAAGTCCCACTTGGCCAAGATGTATTTATCCTTGTCATATACTACCAGGTTTGATTCGCTAAAATTTGTTAGATTTTTGCATATATATGCTATCAGGAAAACTGGTCTAAATTTTCTTTTCTTATAATGTCCTTGGCTGGTTTTGGTATCAGGATTATGCAGGCCTCACAAAATGAGTTGGGAAATGTCCACTCCTCTATTTTCTGGAAGAGTTGTGTAAAATTTGTACTGTTTCTTCCCAAATGTTCAAAGAGAGCAAAGAAGAGAGGACACAAATAGAAAATAGCACTAAAAGGATAGACCTGAACTCCAACTGCAGAACAATTAAAATTGTAAGCAATTCAGTGAAGAAAGGAAGGCTATTTCAACAAGTAGAGCTAGAATAACTGGATATCCATACAGGAAATAAACCAGAGCATTGAATCCTACAGCTCACACCATAAACAAAAATTAATGTTAAAAATTAATTAATAATGGCACGTAAACCTTAGCGTAAAACCGAAAATTGTAAAGGTTCTAAAAGAAAATATAAGAGAATACTTTTGTGACTTTGCCGTAAGATGTCCTAAACAAGACACAGCAAATACTGAACATAAAAGAAAAAAAAGATAGATCTGCTTCTCCTAGGATACTGTTAGGCAAACAGGCAAGCTACAGATCAGAAAATATTCACAACACATATACCTGATAAAGGGCTTCTATCTAGAGTAGATAAAGTATTCCTACAATTGAACAATATAAACGAAACGCACCACACACACACACACACACACACACACACACACACGCAAAAGGCTTGAAGAGCCACTTCATGTACGAAGTACGAATGGCCAATAGGCACGTGAAAAACTGTTGTAACATGGTTTAGTCAACAGAGAACTGTAAATTAAAACCACAGTGATACATCGCATTAGAAAGACTGACAACAAAGGATATGGTACAACCATAACTCCTTTATCTTGGTAGTTGGAGTGTAAAATGATACAACCACTGGAAAACTCAGAGTTTCTTATAAAGTTAAAAATGTGTCTACTATTGACTTCTGACCTAGCAATTCCACTTTTTATCCAAGAAACATGAAAACATATGATCACAAAAAGAATTGTACAAGAATGTTCACAGTATCTTTATTTCATAACCCCTAATGGGAAACAACCCAAAAGGCCATCAAAAGGAGAACGGATAAACAATCGGTGAAAAATACTAAATTAAAAGGAGTAAAATACTGATACATGAAATAACGTGGAAGAATTCCACAGACATTACGCAGAAGCCTGACAAAAATGAGCACATACTGTATTATACATGAAGTTCTCCAACAAGGAAAACGAATCTATGCTTATGGAAATCAGAATAAAGGTGGGGGTCGGGGGACGAATGGCAAGAGGCGTGAGGAAACGTTTCCAGGACGATGAAAATGTATTTTGCCAGGAGTTGCACGGTGGTTCGTTGTCATCTATCTGTACACTTAATATCTGCACGTTGCACTGGGTGTACATGGTACCTCAGTTTAGGAAACAATTCTGAATTCTAGGTACAGCGTCCACTGCCCGGTACGTAGGTGCGTGATAAGTTAACTGCAGAACGAAACGACCGCGCCCTAAGTGACGGACAAACTAGAGAAACGGACCCACCACAGCCTAGGGGTGCGTTCACCACCTCGCACCGGGAAAAACTGGCGGGGACTGGAAGGGGCCCTGAAGCCCTCGGGGCCCGCCCCTCCCCAAGGCCCGCCCTTTCCGCTTTCACGACGTTCAGTCTGCGTCCGGAATTGGAATGGCCGAGCCTAAAGCCGGATACTAGATAAACTGTTTTTCCGACACAAACAAACGACCCATCACTGCACCTTTTCAAAGACTTGACTCTCAAATGCACCCATCCTAGAAAATAGTGGGGGTCTGCCTTCTGCACACTTTTTTTTCACCCCGTCCCACGCAATGGTAGCGTCCGCCTAGATTGCCGGCGACCAGGAGGTGGAGCACACCATTCAAAGAAGGGGAGGGATTAAGGTTTGCATCAAAACAAATCCCTCTTCCTCTGCAAAAGCAATAACCAGGTGATCCAGAAAAAGAAAAAAAAAAAAAAAAGGGGGGGAGGGGGGTGGCAGTGTCCTCCCGCAAGTAATAGGAACCAGCCTACAAGACGTTTTCCCCTCTTTCTACTCCCCTCTCATCGGGTGAATTGTGAGCTGTTCCGACAAAAAGAAACCGGAAATGCTTCTGCAAGAGGCAAAAATGTAAATGTGGAGCTAAACAATAACAGGGCTTCACGGCCTCTCGGACAGAGACGGTCCTCCCGGGTCTCGCCGGCAAACCTCTCGTTTAGCACTTCCCACTTCCACGGCTGACAGTCTTTAATTGGATTTTCTCCATCTAGCGAAGCCGGGGGCCGGCTGGAAAGATTACTCCAGGAAGGACAAAGGTCCGGAAGTCGTGAGACTTTATAGCATCTTGTTCTTCCCGGATCACCCCAAGTAATCATTTGGGAATGGAACTCGAGATTTCACCAGGTGCCGTGGGCTCTAAAATTTCGACCTATGAGTTCCCAAAGTTTCAAGATCCGAAAGTCTGAGACCCCAATGCTTTATGCATCTTATTTCAGGGACTCCCCACGCCCACCACTGGGTTTGTGTTGGGGGGAGAGGGAGTACCCCTTAGGCCGGGTCAAGGGTCCCCAAAGTCCCACTCCCCTGCCCAGGTCTTCAGCTTTGAGTTCGGTTGGTCCTAACATTCCCATCATCTACACCCTGGCCTCCCAACATTGCATGCCTGCGTGGATCTCTCCAGCCAAGCTTCCAGCCTCCCAATCCCCCAAAACTCACTAAGTCCCCACTGCCCCGCCTCCATCCCCGCGGTTCTCCCAGGCTGAAAATACACGGAGCCGTGAGCCGGTGACTCAGAGAGGACTCATCGGGCACAGTCAGGAGCTTACCCGATCCGCAGGGGATCGTGTCACCGTCCTGGGAAGCGCGCTCCAAGCAGGACGCCAGGTGCCCCCGGAGCCCAGCGGCTACCTGCGCCCAGGATGGTGGCTCTGGACTTTTGAGGAGCTCAAAACTTTTAGCGCCAGTGTGAGCACATGGGAGGGGAAAATCCCAATCCCGGCAACACTCGCGAGGCTCCTGGCACAAAGCTGGACAGTCGCCATGACAAGTAAGGGCAAGTAATTCGCCTGCCGGCGGAGGCAAAGGAAATGGAGAGTTGCAGAGGGAGGTGGGGGGAGTGGAGAGGGAGGTAGAAATCCACGGTGCTAAGAGGCGCTGAGCTTTCGATATCGGTGCCCTGCTGTTCGCTTTGCCTGCCGGGGGTCTTCTGCCCCCTCCCGGAAAAGGAAGAACGGTAGAGGTGGGTTTCTCCATTTCTGCGTCCGGATCTCTGAGAACTTGGAAGCAGTCCCGGGCGCTCCACGGGCCAAGCAGCGGGTAGCCAGCGGAAAGAGGGTTGCTCGGCCGAGGCCAATGTCTGCCGCGCTTCTTCTGCAGCATGAAGACGCTGGAGGCGCCGCTGGTAGCTCCGGACTGCCTTCCTTCAGACCAGGCCCCAGCTGCAGCCAGTCTCCCTCCCCAGGCTTCCCTGATGGATAAAGATACGGACCCTGAACTGATGCCACCGCCACCCGATGGGGATAATCCGCCCCAGAAGTCCCCAGATCCTGCGGCTGGCCCAGCTGTGTCCCGGGAGCTGGGGGAGGTGGACCCAGCTTCTCTCTCCGCCGCCCTGGAAGCAGAGTTTGATACTTCTAGTGCGTTGAGTCCACGAATCGAGGAACGAGAACTTTCTGAAAATGCCAGCCTTCCTGCAGAAGAAACGAACGGGCCAGAGCTGGGGTCTGGAGAAACCATGGAAGGTGGAGGTGTGTCTGAGGAACTCGGTCCAGAGGATGGAGACACGTAAGTGTTCATGGTAGTTGACTCTGGAGTCTGAGGAGATTGGAACTGTGAGATAGACCTTAGCCACCAGTCCTCAGCCCCACTCTCCAGGCCCATTTCTCCTTTGCTTGGGCGATCCAGGTTTGTTGTCTCCCCATCTTCCTTCCAGCATCTGGAACTACAGCTTCTCCCAGCTACCTCGATTTCTCAGTGGTTCCTGGTCAGAGTTCAGCACCCAACCTGAGAACTTCTTGAAAGGCTGCAAGTGGTAAGTAAGGATCATGGGGCAGGGAGACCCCCAGGACTTTCACCTTAAAGCATCCCAGTTATCTAGGAGAAGGAGTAAGAATCCCTCTTAGGACTGGGCATAAATTTCATCTAGGACTTTGTGTCTTCCACTTATTTAAGGATTCAGGGGGCTTACGTACCCCAGAGGTAGGCTCAGCCCTAGCCCTATACTTGGAAAGCGTAGGTCTGCCCAGTTTTCTAATTCTTTCCTATTTCTAGGGCCCCTGATGGTTCCTGTATCTTGACCAATAGTGCCGATAACATCCTGCGGATTTATAACCTGCCTCTGGAGCTGTACAATGAGGGGGAGCAGGTGGAATATGCAGAGATGGTAAGAGTAGGGGCTAACTCTGCTCCTTGGTCAGACACTGCACGTTGAAGTCTTTATTGTTATAGATGGAGAAAGTGGAGTCTACATGTTTCCTGTTCACAAACAGGACTTTTCTTCACCATGAATTTCCACGTAGAATTTTCTGCCTTGAATTCTGAAGTAATCTAAAGAGATGTTTGCTCTTTGTTAGTCAGGAATATGTGTTTTCTGTAAAAGAGTAGTGGGTTTCTCATGGCAGTAGTTTATTTGTTTACAGATATTTATTGGATGACTGCCAATATGTCAGTCAGTGTATTTGGTGCTGGGATAAAATGATGAACAAGACAGTTGAGAGCTGGTTTGCTTTCTTGTGTGGGAGATAGATACCAAACATGTAAATAATTGAGATTATTACAAGTAAACAGAAGCAGGAAGGAGGAGAGACTAACTAGAGACAAGCCACTTTAGATAAAGTGGTCAGGGAGGTGCTCTTTAAAAAGGAGATGTAGCCGGCCCGGTGGCGCACTGCTACAGTGTGCCGCTTGAGAGTGCAGCGGGGCTCCCGCCGAGGGTTCGGATCCCACATACAGACCGGTTCCCGCTCACT